GCCTTGTGTCCCAATAGAGCATTAGATCTAGAGTCAGAAAAACCTGGGTTCAAATCCAGCTTCAGACGCTCACTAACTGTGTGATCCTACGCAAGCCACTTAACTGCTATTTGTCTGAGTTTCCCCATTTGTAAAATGGAGAAAATAACAGCACCTATGTCCCAGGACTGCTGTAATGATCAAATAAGAGAATATTTATAAAGCACTTTGCAAATCTTTTGTTTTTTGATTAATTCATTTATTTTTAGTTTTCAACATTCACTTCCACAAGATTTTGAGTTCCAAATTTTCTCCCCATCTCATCCTTCCCCCCACCCCAACACTTTGCAAATTTTAAAGTGGTAGCTAGTTATTATTAGTAATATATTACTCATATGAATGCTCTTCCTCCCCCTAAAATTTTGTATTTGATTATCTGAGTGTGAAAGCATATTTTAAAACATTTTTGTCTCTCTGTAAATATTAAGAAATAGTATTCTTCTCTAAAGGCAGTCAGGTGTTACAGTAGATGGAATGGTGGGCTAGAAGTCAGGAAGATCGGAGGTCAAATGTGATCTCAGGCACTTAAAAGCTCTGTGACCCTGGGCAAGTCACTTAACCTTCATGCCTCAGTTTCCTCAACTGCAAAATGGGGATAATAATAGCACCTACCTCCTAGAGTTGTTATTAAGATCAATGAAATAATATTTATAAAAAGCTTCATGTAGCACAACGCCTGGCACATAGTAGGTCCTTAATAAATAAATGCTTGTTCCCTTCCCTCTAGATTTCTAGATTTCTAGGAAAAGCCTCTGGGAAAGGTGGGTGATAGGACAACAACAAAAGAACCTTTCTCAGGAAAATGGATTAAGGATGGCCTCCAATATTTTAACATAGAATAACTCTTGACTTATTCATATCTTTGCCTTTCCACTTTTGAAACCACAGGGTGACAGATCCATCCAAGGGCAATTTCTTCTTTACCATTAGAGCTACTCTTCTACATTGAAAAAGGATTAAGATATGGACGGGAGGGAAAGAGGTTCCTTTGTTTAACTCCAGGAGTGAAGAAAGTGCAAGGAGACTTGATTACTCAATAATTCTAGAATGTTAATCCAAACTATATTTTAACATTTTTTCAAGATTCCTATAATTGTTATTTGAAGTCTTCTTGGGGCAGTTTCATGTCAGAAGGCAATTGTGTCTGTGCCGGTTTGGATATCTCTCTTTCCAAGCAAGAAGTGGTTTGGATATAGATGAATGTAAAATTAAATAAAACTATTTCTGACAGAAATGAGGCTGAAAACACATAGTACAGTATTAGTATTAATATTTTTTCTTTGACATAAGTATGCGTAATATCTTCTTAGGATTCTCTGAAACCTGTTTTCATTAATTTCTTACATGGCAATAACATTCTGTTACATTCATATACCATCATTTGTTCAGTCATTTCCCAACTGAGGGAACCATCTTTGTTTCCAGTTTTTGGTTACAACAAAAAGAACTGCTATAAATATTTATGTCCATATGGGCCCCTTTCCTCTTTTTTTTGCACTCTTTGGGGTATAGTCATAGTAGTGATATTACTAGGTCGAAGGGTATGCAGAGTTTAGCTTTTTGGGACATAGTCCCAAGCTGCTTTCCAGAATGGCTGAACCAGTTCAAAACTCTGCCATTCTCCTGATGTGACTTTCTTCCCACAGCCCCTCTAACAACTGTCATTTTCCTTTTTTGTCATCTTTACCAATTTCACAGGTGTGAGGTAGAACCTCAGAGTTCTCTAATTATTAGTGATTTGGAGAATTTTTTCCTATGTCTGTTGATAAGTTCTATTTCTTTCTTATAGCTTTGGACCATTTATTTCTTGAGGAATGGCTGTCATTCTTATATGATTGAATCAATTCCTTATTTTGGATATCTGACTTTAACTTACTATGAAACTTACTATGAAAATATTTTCCCCAGGTAACTGTATTTTTAATTTCAGTTGCATTGATTCAGTTGTTAAGCAATCAAAATTGTCCATTTATCTTCTATGATCCTCTCACTGGCATGCTCATCCATGTTTGCCATGCTCTCTCCTCTCCTCTCTGCCCCCAGTCTCCTTCTGGTCCCAGTTAAAATCCCATCTTCTTTAAGAAGCCTTTCCTGATCCTTTTTAACGTTAGTGCCTTCCCTTTATTGATAATCTCCAACTTACCCTGTATCTTGTTTGCTTTCATGTCGTCTCGTCTATTAGACTGGGAGCACCTTGAGGGTAGGAGCATCTTTTGCCTTGGTTTTTATCCACAGAGCCTGGCGCATAGTAGGTTCTTAATACAAGTTTATTGACTGACTGTGTCTATCATTTCATCATTAGCTTCTTCTAGCTCTAATTCCCTTGGTTGTAGGACACAGCCTAGTGAGACTAGTTATCATGTCAACAAGTATTTTTTAAATATGCACCTATAATGTGCCAGGCACTCTATTAGGTCCTGTGAATACAAAGACAAAAATCAAACTGTCCCTGCCCTCAGGAAATACACATTCTGTTAGGGGAGACAACACATACACAAATAATTATATGCAAGTTACATACAGAATGTACATAGGATCCCCAGTATGGAGCTGAAAATACCTCGGTGGCTCTCTACTCCAATGCCCTCATTCTACAGATGAAGAAACTGAGGCCCAGAAAAAGTTAAGTGACTAGGCAAAGGTCACCCAGGTAATGAGAGAGGTGACATTTGAACTCATATCCTCTGAATACAAAGCTAGTGTTTCCCCATCATATCATGTTACCCAGCAACATACATTTATACAAGATATATACAAAAGAAATACAAGACAATTTTGGGGGAGATGGGTGAGGGACACAAGCAGTTGGGGTGTAGGTGGAATCAGGAAACTTTTTACATAGAAAGTATTAATTGAGCAATTTTTTAAAGAAACAAAGGATCCCAGGAAATGAAGGTGAAATGAGATATTTCTATCCCTAGAAGTTATTCTAGGGATAGCAGGGAAGAGCCAAGGAGGGCAAAGGTATGCAGGACAAGAGAGTGTCACATGCAAGGAACAGCAAGAAAGCTAGTTTGGCTGGCTATAGCTTGGAAGAAAGGTAGGACCCATACACGTATACACACATACACGTATACACATACCGCTTACATGTAATACATGTAATTACATATACACATGTGTGTATGCATACACACACACATTATATTGAGCCTGGTGGAGTCAGGAAGCCTCAACTTCCTGAATTCAAATCTGGCCTCAGCCACTTACTAGCTTTGTGACCCTGGGAAAGTCACTTAACCCTGTTTGCCTCAGTTTCCTCATCTGTAGAATGAACTGGAGAAGGAAATGGCAAACCACTCCAGTATCTCTGCCAAGAAAACCCTAAATGGGGTCACAAAGTCAGACTCAACAACCATTTAATTGAAGAGCTTCTACTTGATTCAGGAGGCAATAGGGAAAGCATAGAGTCTGAGCAGGGGCGCGACCTCATCAGACTGGTGCTTTTGGAAAATCACTTTGCCTGCTCTGGGAGGACAGTTTGGCTGGGGAAGACTTGAGTCAGGAAGAACAATGGATTGATTAATCAGCACGCATTCATTCAGTGCTTACTACCTGCCAGACAAGGTGCTGGTCTACGTGCTAAGAACACAAAAGGGAAAGTGAAGCTGTCCCTGCCCTCAGGAAGCTTCCATTCCAGTAGGGCTGACAACACCTGCGCACACGTGTAATACTTATGATAGAGACATAACGTAAGCAAAGCGAATAATACGAGGTACTCTGGGAAGGGATAGCACCTGCATCTGCTGGCTGGGGGAAGGGCGCAGAAGGTGGCACTCGGGCTGAGTCTTGAAGGAAATCAGGAAATCCAAGAGGCGAAAATGAGAAGGGAGTAATTAGGCCTCCAGAACCGCGAAGGTTGGGCCTAGAGAGGCGCCAGCTGTGACCCGGAAATCCGTTCAGCGGCTCTTCTAGCCGGCCGGAAGTCCAGGGGACCTTCTAGCCCGCCTCCGTACTCTATGGCCTTGGAGGACCGCGAAGGCGCCAAGTCCCATGGAGCTCGGCCTGACCCGGTGAAGAGCGGGGCTGGGGGTCGCGGTGAAAGGCAGAGGTGGTCCCTTCCTCTGGTCCCGGCTCGTGTTTCCGTGTCCGCAGAACCCCTGGCCACGGTAGCCCCCGGCGGGCACCGGCATGGCGGGAGTCCTAACGTCAGCCTTTCCTCCTAGAAGCCCTGTCCACCCCCCAGCAGGCTCCCCTGGGGGCAGACCGAGACCCT